CAAATTATAATAAAAACAGATTTCTTAGATTTTGCTATAGGAATAGTTTTGAGCTAATTAGATCAAAATGAGAAATAACAATTAATTATATTCTATTCTCAAAAACTATTATTAATCAAACTGAATTACAAGATATATAATAAGAAATTATTAGTAATAATTAATATATTTAGAGAATAGTAAGTTTATTTAAAAGAATCAAAATATATAATACAGATATATATAGATTATAAGAATTTAGTATATTTTATTATAACAAAGTAATTAAATAAACAATAAGTTAAATAATCAGAAACTATAACTAATTACAATTTTAAGATTTTATATATCAAAAAATCAGAAAACACTAGAATTAATGCTTTTAGTCAAAAACCAGAATATTAAGAGAATAAGTTATACAAATTATATACTATATTCAGAAAAGAAAACGAATTATTAATTTATAATATATTATAACTTGTAATTATTTATGTATTAAAAGATAATCATTTAAGAAACAAAATCCAATTATATTATAAAAGTAATGCTATAGTAATATATATATTCAAAGTAATAGAATTAGAATTTATAAAGAAAAATGATATAATATATTTTTATGGAAAAGTATATATTCTTAATTAAATAATTAAAGAATTTGTAATGAAATAATATAAATTATTTATATATAAATATTAAGGAATTACAAAAACATTTATAAGAATATAGGAAATCAATTATTTTTTATAAATAAAAATAATAATTAAAGAAATTATTGAAAATTGTAATATTTGTATATAAAATAAGTTCTCTAAATATACTTTATATAATTAGTTCTAAATTCTAGATATATCTTTTCAATTATAGAAATCTATTATATAAAACTTTGTAATTAAATTATTATTTTCAAAAGACTTTATTATAAGAATTAAATATAATATAATATTAAATGTAATAAATAGATTAATAAAATTTGTATATATGATATTATTCAAAGAAATATAGATGGCTGAATAATTAATATATATATTCTTTAAGATTATAATAAGTATATATAGAGTATTAAATAAGATAATTTCGAATAGAAATAAGCTTTTTACCTTGAAATTCTGGATTACCTTATTAATATTAATAAATATTAAAAAAAAGTTATTAACAGCTTTTTATTTACAAATAAATAATTAAATAGAGAAAATTAATTAGATAATAAAAGTATATTTTAGATACTATATAAATCATTAATAAGACAATTAGATAAAGTTATTATTTATAGTATAATTTGTATATAATATATTGAAAATAGAAATCATAAAGATAATATTAGTATGTATTAATTTTGAATTTAATTCTAAAGTATATTAAATATTAATATTACAAAAAATCAATATCAAATCAATAATAATATAAGTCAAATAACTAAAAGATTTATAAGAATAGCTTGTTTTTAATCTAAGATTTATATTATTTAGAATAACAATTTATTATAATATAAAATATAATATGGAATCTATATTTAAAAAAGAGAATAAAGTTTATTTATTATAACAAAATATCAAAATCAAAAAATTAAATAATAAATTCGATTATAAAAAACTAAGATTATTTAAGATTAATAAGATAATAGAAATTATTAATTATTAATTAAAACTATTAAATATAATAAATATCTATTTAGTATTCTATATATCCTTATTTAAACTAATATTACTAAAAGTATTAAATATATTATTTACAAAAATCAAATTAATTAATCTAAATGTTATATATAATATTGAGATAATATTAGATTATAAGTATATCAAAGATATAATCAAATATTTTATCAAATAATTAGATTATTTATATATCGAAAATTTATGGAAACTAAGAATAAATCTCAATTACTCTAAGAAGTTGGAGATATTCTATTAGTAATATCCGGATTTATTTAGAAAAAAAAAGAATCTATTAAAACTAGAAATAAAGGATTTAAAAAGAAAAAATCGAAAGCAAAAGAATTATTGTTAAAACTAGTAATAAAAATAAATACTATTTCCTTTTCTTTTTTAATATATTTTTTCTTTAATCTTTTCTTTTTTTTTAGAGTATTAAGCTTATCTAGAAATTTAAATCTATAATAAAATATTTTATAATTATATTTATATAATTTCTATTATTTTAGCTTAAGGATATAAATATAAATAAAATTTAATATTATAGTTTCAAAAGTGATATCTTTTTTAAACTAAAGATATTCCTTTTTTAGATAAAGGCTTTCTAAATTGTTTATAAAGACTTAAATAATATTATAATAAGCTCTATAATGAATATATTTATTATAATATTGTGAGTAATTATTTAATATTATATAACAACAACTATATTGAGAACAATTGAAATAAGATATATTATTAGAATTGTAAACCTAAATTGTTTTAGAAAGAAGAATGTATTATTTGTATTTGGAAATCTTAATAGTTGAGGATAATATATTGAAAATAATTATTAGGATATTGTTATAGAAAATGATTATTAATAAGAAAGCTTAAAATAAGTACTAAATTAAAAAGGGGATAGTATTATAATAAATAATAATATATTATATAAGAAGTATTATATAATAGAGTTTTTGAAGCTTAGAATTCAAGAAACTAAAAGCTTTGGAATTTAAAATCCAAAAGAGCTTTAAATAAAATAGAATCTTAGGTTTTATAAAAAACAAAGGTTTATATAAGAAATAAGATTTTATTATAATATAGAGCTTTATGCTCAAAAATAATTATTAGTTTTATTATTATAGTTATAAGAATTGCAATTAGTTATAATCTTATTAAATTCCTATTTAAAGTTTAATCTAAACCACTTCAAGAAATCTCTAGTCACTTCTACATAACCCTAGAGGCAGCTCCTGTAACATTTAGCGATAGTATAACGAAATGATGATATTTCGTTCTATCACGTACTAGTTAAGGTATCAATATATGAAATAATGATATTCGGGGTTTTTACTATAGTATTAATTATAGGATATTCTAAATTGTAGAATATAGTTCCTAGAATAATAGATTCTAGGAGAGATAGAATATAATAAATAAAAAAAGCTTTATTAGGATTAATAATATCCCAGGAAATTAGTTTTAGAATAAAAGAATAAACTAGAATAATAGAAATCATAGGATAAGTATTATATAATCAAAAATTAATCAATTTATTAATTAACTTATTAATCAACTTATTGATTGATTTTAATATAAAGGTTTATATAAGGAATAGATTTCATTATAATATAAAGCTTTGTACTCAAGAATAATTATTAGTTTTATTACTATAATTACAAGAATTGTAATTAGTTATAACCTTATTGAATTTCTATTTGAAGTTTAGTTTAAACTATTTTGAAAGATCTCTAAACACTTCCATATAACCCTAGAGGCAGTTCTCATAACATATAACTATATACTTTATTCATTTATTAATAGAATTTTTTTAAAGTCTAATAAAAAGTATTTTAATATAAAAGGATTATAAAAATCTAATTAGTTTTACTCTATAGTAACAAAGTTAATATTCCGGATGAAGAGAAATTCAATATAAACCCTTATACAAATTTCTATTTCGTATATTATAATATTAATATATATATTCATTAATAATAAATAGAGCTTTTTGTTATTAATAAATTAAATTGGTTCTTTTTGCAATCTATTTATTATTGAATTTTGATTAAAAAAAGAAAATGAGGATCTTAAAAGACCTTAGAGTTTTCAAGATTTTCGAATATTAGAGTTGAGGGAAAAATAAACAAAAAGATATATATATAAAAGATTAAAGAAATAAATAAAAGTTAAAGGGGAAAAAGGGAATGAGTATAGAAACTAAAGAATAAATAAGAAGTATTAGCTAAAAGTTTAAAGAGAAATAAAGTTCTTTTAATAAATTATATTATATAAAGGAAATCTATAAGAGAGCTTTTAAATGAAATCATAAGCTATATTACTATATTATATAATATAGAATATATTATATAAACAAAAATATAATCTAATTTCAATTTATATATAAATAAATTTGAATTCAATAAATAGAAATATAACAAAAAGATTAATAATCCTTAATAAATTCTAATTGAAATATTTAAAAGAATTTTTCTATTTTTTTATTAAAATCTAATAGAAAATCAATTTAGAAGGAAAAGAAAAGAAAAAGAAAAAGAAGGAAAATTAAAAAGCAAGTAAAATCTAGAAGTTTTCTATTTGATAAATAATTGTTGCCTCAAACCAAAGCTTTCAATTAATCTTCTAGAATTCAAGAAATTCACTAAGAACTTATTAATTAGAATAAGCTTTATAAAATATAAAGATTTAAATTGATTATATTAATATTTTAAAAATGATTTATTTAATATATAATAATAATATTATAGAATTTATAACAATTACAAAAGGATCACTTTATTAACCACGGATTCTATTATCATAGGGTTATTAAATTCATATTAATATTGATTTATTATTTAAATATGAATATTACTAAAACCTCGATTTTGGTGTGATTTTGAAGTGATTCATTCGGTGATGTAATCCACTCATATATGAATCACGTTATAGAGTTTCTAAGATCTTAGATTGAAAGTGATTGAAACGAGATCTAGATATCATTGCCCCCTCGTCGTATCACGTGATTTACAATCATCCCACAACCCATGTCTACCTTCCTGTACGAAAGATAAATAGATAGTAGTAGTACTGTCATCGAGTCCGATCTGATCTACCTGCAGCTAGATAACTGCATACCTCTGTTGTAAATATGTATGATTCTTCCCAAGGGTTCTACTATGATCCTTACTGATCACGAGCCTAAGCTTCCTCAGTCATGGGTGCGCGATCGTAGCAGTGTGGTGAAAAGTATCCTTAAACTTTTGAGGTAAGGTTGATTGAATGAAATTTTTCGCGATAAAAATGATCGACACAGGAAAAGCATATTTTGCAGATGCCGTAGATATAGAGAGAGCAGAGACAGTGAGTGTCAGCTTCCTATTCGGTCCACTAAGTATTTCCAGTTCTCCCCTTCTTAACCGATTTCCATTCCATGCCGAGGGAACCAACCACCGAAAGACTGCAGAGAGCAACCGCAAGAAGAAAAATCTGGTCGATGGTAAGACTATAACCCGCCAGTACCGCATCTAGATACTTTGGTTCAACAGTGCTTCGTAGAGTCGTGACTCCATTTGAGAGAACAAGATTGGCATTGACTTGAGGAACCGTCTTCGTCAAATTCGCGATCAGACGATTTGTGAAGAGATTCTGGGCGATAGCTAGTGCAACGATATTCCCCATCCTCTGTGAAAAGGCCACTGTTGTAATAGCAATTGGGATATCGATTCGAGGTATGGTTGTCTGAACTGCTACGTAAGGCTGTTGAAAGCCGATGCCGCAGCCAAACCCAAAAAGAGCTTGGAAGACAATCCACTCTGGTGCTTGGGTATTTACACGCAGCCTTGATAGGAAGCCGCTTCCAATTGCAGTGAGAATACTGGTCAGGATCATACTCGAGGTGTAGTATCCAACCACTGTTGTGAAATATCCCCCGCCAAAACTCCCAAATATTAGACCCACAACCAGTGGCAAAGTCCTGACACTAGAGTCGAATGTGCTAGCACCTCTCACAGCTTGAAAATATATGGGAAGCTAGTAAAAGTCAAAATCGTATACTTTGCAAAGTTGAGCAAGCGTACTCACATAGTATGCCGTGACGTATAACGATGCCGATACACAGAATATAAATACTATACCAGATAGAACACTGCGTTGACGAACGATGCGAGGAGGAAACATTGCCTTGTCTTGTTTGTAGAGTTGCAGGGAAATGAATGTAACTAGCAAAGCAGTCATCAAGGCTAGCATAAGAATGATACGGAAGTTGTTCCATGAATATTTTGAGCCACCCCAACTCAAAGCTAGTACAAGAAGTATTACCAACGGCAAAAATAATAGTATACTTGACGTGGGAAGCATTTTCAGTCTTTCCACTGTACTCAAATTTTCACGCTCTGTATCTGGCATTCTGCCAAATATGATGAGAACAATAGCGCCCACAACTCCAATGGGTATACTTATCCAGAAACAAACCCTCCATGATGAAGCGGCTGTGACCGCACCAGCAATCAGGGGTCCAGCTGTAATAGCAATGTTTTCTACGCCTCCAATGATCCCTTGATATAAAGGCCTGCGGTGTAGAGGAACAATGAGGCTTATAATACTTCTGGTCGTCAGTATATGATGATTCAAACTTGGAGATATTGACTCACATTTTAGAGCCGGAGACAAGACCCGCAGAGCCTGTGCCAGCAATAGCTCGTCCAATTATGAAAACTAATGAGCTGGGTGCTGTAGCACACATGATAGAGCCAATTTCATAGATTATGAACGAACAGATATAAATCTTCTTGGTGGAGTAAAAGGTGTATAGTTTTCCGTAAAATACGATCAAAGCACAGGAAGGAATTAAGCTGAAGGTGTCAGAACTGCAAGAGACAGGATTCACCACGGTGTATACTAGACAGTACTTACTAGGCAGTGCCATACCACCCTATGTCGTTGGCAGAGTGGAATTCATCGGTGATAACTGGTATAATTGTTGCTACACAGTTGGAGTCCTAAATTTCCAATTAGTGAAAATGAACTTTAAATGGAGCTTAAGCTCACTGTAGCATTTGCACCTACAAAACCAATGACAAAGGTTGAAAGTAGTAGAGTTCCAAAAATAAGAGCAAATTTAACTTTGTTGGGATATGATAGCTCTTCGACTACTTCTCGAGTAGTCGGATGGCTTTCTTGTTGCGGCTCAGACTTGATTTCCGAGTTGGTTGCCTCTGTGCTTATCGGAGCAATGCAAGATCCGGCTGGTTTTTGAGGTAACCCAAGTTTTTCCGACATACTAATGTGACGATAGATGAAGTTTTGGTTCGAAAATACCTACCTATCTATAGAAGTAGGGCCTGATGAGAATATCTGCCTAGGCTGTAAAATCACGTGAGATGTCTTGAACGGTTGAACCATGAGTGGATAAGAAATACTTAATTACAGTTGGTCAGTAGTAATAAGCAATGACAAGGTAGCATGGCTCACGCTTCTGCAAGCTGAGTAGATATTCTAACCGCTTCAGGCCAATAAGTTGAAGTGGAGCAGTAGCATGCATGGCACTTCTGCAAGCTGAGTAGATATTCTAACCGCTTCAGGCCAATAAGTTGAAGTGGAGCAGTAGCATGCATGGCACTTTTGCAAGCTGACTGGATATACTATCCGCTCTAGATTATCAAGTAGGAATGAAGCGAGAAATTGTGCCGTCGTTTATCGCATATCTATTGACTCTAGTGTGTAGCAGTTCTAACTAGCTTGATGGAGCTATTGCCCACTTGTTATTGCTAGAGTGCTACTATAGCAGAGAATCAATCATACATTGACCTTACTATACATTGTTTATAGTAATGTAGTGTATATATTAAACATCTTATTGGCCTGTTTGTTTTGATAAAGCGGCCAAGATTATGATTGTGACATGCCTGTATAATTTGAAATAATAACTTTAAAATAGATACCCCGGCTAGTGCTCTAGTAATAGTCACGGGATTTATCTCCGTACTCCGTGTATGTAGGCGGGAAAGCGAGAAGTAACGTAGCGGAGCACCACTGCAAGGGTATTTCCATGCAAAATCTCCGAATTGTGTGGCGGCTGGGGCTGAGTGGAAAGGGCAACTACATATAAAATATATATATATATATATATATCAATCGTGGTAAGAGTGTTATAGCGTAACACAACATCGCGTTATAGATACCATATCAACCGATAAACATTACCTACTAACTTCTGATCACATAATGAGGGTCGCTTGCCTTCAGTTTTGCCCCAAGTTGTGCGAGGTTAAGGAAAACATCCGTCTAGCTGACTCCCTCCTCGCCGGGGTACTTAGAAGCCAACTGGACTTGTTGGTTCTTCCAGAGCTAGCTTTGACGGGTATGACATCTACTATTCAACATGAGGCTTGAACACTACTGCCTATAATTCTCTTCATACAATACTATCCACCGATCGTGTTAACTGACATTTTTCCTAGGATACAGCTTCCCGTCGCTAAAAGCCATAAAGCCTGTGTACGTCAGTTTTCAAGGGCACATTCGCCTCCCAGATTTATCTTTATGTAGGGCTAATAGATCATAGTCTAGAAATACAGGGCGCGGGACCATCTAGTCAGTGGGCACAGGCGACCGCACAGCGTTTGAACTGCATCGTCAGTATTGGCTATCCAGAGAAAGCAATCACACCCTCTCCCACGACGGTTAGCCGAACTCCAACAGGTTCTGATAGACGGTACAACTACAACTCAACCATCGTATACGGGCCATCCGGTGATTGCCTCGCGCACTACCGCAAGCACTTCCTCCTGCCGGCCGACACAAAATGGGCCTCGGAGCCCGTCAATCATTTCGGAGAGCTGGAGAAGTTCTCGACGCATTATATACGTGAGCCTCTGGATACCCAAGTAGCACTAGGGATCTGTATGGACCTGAATCCTTACCAGGGCACCGCGCCTTGGACGGATTTCGAGTTCGCCAATCACGTAGTATATTCGGGTGCGAAGCTGGTCATATTGAGCATGGCTTGGTACTCAGACCTGCCTAAGGAAGACTATGAGGAAGGGAATGTACATGAGCCTGATCTGAAAGTATTTGCATACTGGGTCGAACGTCTTCGGCCTCTGTTGGATGCTAATCAGGAAGTGGTGATAGTGCTAGCGAACAGATGCGGGAGTGAGGCAGACATACGGTATGTGGGGACAAGTACGGTGCTGAAAATTGGAAAAGGATCGGTCCGGGCGTGGAATCTGCTGGGTAGAGGCGAGCAGAAATGCTTGGTTGTGGATACAGGTACAGATCCAGAGTATATTTGGGATTGGAGGAGAAAGCTCTTTTCAGATTGTCCGGAAACTGGGGCCGAGAGTGGAGTGGAGCGAGAAGGCATGGAAGCTGTTTTTGTAGAACAAGTGGCGTAATCTCGTGATTGCGTTTTCTACATGTCTCTCAGTGACTATACCCTATAGCTCTTGAAATCTCAAATAAAACATTATTACTAGTCTTCAGTATTTCTGCAATTTATTCCTTTTCATATCGCGGTGTTTTTAAACTTCTATTTATTTAAATACACTAAATCAATTTCCACGAAACTATTTCGTAATACATTAACAACGTAGCGTTTCTCGATCTTTTATATACTAACTTTATATATTCAGAGCTTTTCTTTTACCAAGTCAATAAGAAGAAGAAAAAGGAATGTGGAGAAGGCAAGGAGCGGAGATTTTTATTGCTTTTTCTAATGGTACAGGGTGTAGTACCCCTCCCTAGCCCCCCTGACCTCCCTGCCGCCGCCTAGGCTCAGGATTTGATAGAAATAACCTCCTTGTCAAGATTGGGAATACGTCTAAGGATAGAATAATGAATGATATGAGGTAATGGATAATTGTATTAATTATGATGATTGTTCCAGGAACTTTTTTTTACTTCTTGAGATATAAATATCACTCTGGTGTTCTGTGTCTCGGCAACTCACTGCCCACTAGTATCATGATAAGGTTGGAATGTCCGACCTAATGCTACGCTCAATCTGTGGGGTTACAGCCCAACATCCATTTTCCATTCGACATGTCTGGTACAACACGGTGCCAGAATGATCTCCAAAACTCACCAGGTCTTATTGTGGCAACGGGTTTTTTCCCCAAATTGAGTCCTTACAAACAGACCTAGGTCTGTCAGCTCAATTCTGGTCTCGAATCCACTCAATTTAAGCTCACATGAGCTATTATAAATACAATCAATTCAGAGTCAAAACAGTTCATTGATATCTTTCCTAGACCAGCATCCGCAGGTTTTGTAAATATTTCTATCTATTCAAGTGCAAGACATCCGCAGGCTCTGCTTCCCACAACAGACTCGTAAGGGCCGGCACCGCTTCGGACTTTTTATATATATCTTCGTTTGTTGGATGGTTTTCATAATCGTTTTGATGGTAGTCCTCTGTTCCGGGCCTATTGCAAGAGGATTTAACCCTCTGCTGCATGTACCTTCACTTACAGTACGGCCTCAAGTTAGTGTATAATCACTATCCAGTTCCATCGAATGCGCTTTAATCTCATCAGCTCTCTAATCAAAGATTAAAGGTTCGTAGCCGGCGCCACGTACAGGCTGAGATATCGACTTTGCCAGCCACTGTATGGTATTATAACGATAAGATAAATAGATTTTGAAAATTTCAGGTTTTTGACTATTCTTTATTAAAAACATTGAAGTATTATATTTTAATATTTCAATCTATAATAACTTTATCAATTTAGCCTCAATTTGAATAAAAATTATAGTTTATAATAAAGAATAATTAAAATTTTTAATTTTTAATTGATTTATAACATGGAGTTATATTGATTGAGATTGATATTTAAGGGCAAAATTGAAAAAATGAAGAGATTATTTTTAAAAGTTAGTTAGAAAATCATATAAAACTTTTAGAATATAATATTATTTAGAAATCTTCATTAATTCGTTAATATTAGATCAAATCAATTGAAAATTTGAATAATGATTTAATGAAACAATACTTTTCATTTGATAAGAAGATTTTCCATTTTGAAGCTATATTGATAAAGTTAGGATCTTAATATTAATTGATGTTATACAAGTATATATATATAGTAGTAAGCTATCAGGAACTGATCCCTGATACTGTGCCTTTTGAACAGATTGCGTGCGTGGCGTAGTAGTAAAGCTTACAACTTCTATTGTATCCAATCACGTAATAATTGATATCAGTTAAAAGGTCGCGAGACTATACAAGCATATTTTGAAAGCTAGTTATGAAATTGAGTGTATTAGTAATTATAATTCGCTTTTCCATCTTATATATAATTTCTATATAAATAAAGATATTATTAAATCGTTAATAACTTTTTAATAAAAATAGCTAAAAATGAACTATAAACTTTAGTCAAACTCTTATATTATAGGATATATACAAATTTAAACATTTGATCTTTATAACGTTTATATAACAATATTAAAGATTTTCAAACTTACAGGGATTAAAAGAATCAATTTAACTAATAATTTTCATAAGTTAAGAACTATAAAATATATTATAATATATTTTATATTTTCTTGTAGTTTATTATTAGAGTAGATAATAACAATGAATCAACTAGGTGTTATATAATATTAAGACTTTTCATTAATTCCTTTAAATTATGAAAATTCTATAACTTATAATTGTGTATAGACTAATATCGGCCTAAAATAGATCCACAGAATCTACTCACATACCTCAACTAGCCTTCTAAGACTTGACCGTGATATTTATAGCTTAAAATTTGTATTAAAGTTTGTAATTTATCTTTCATTATTTTTATGGAAAAGTTATTAAAGATTTAATAATATCATTATTTGTATAAGAATTATATATAAAATAAAAAAGCGAATTTCAATCAGTGATAACTTTTAATGAAAAATAGCTAAAAATCCGAAATCTTTAAAATCGATTAATATTAATATAAAGATTATAACATTTGAATTTTATTTGATTGTATTGAATTATAATAGAGATATCAATAGGTCAAAATGATTGCTTTTGGTGTAAATAAGTATTCGAAATGAGGGGTATTTGACTTACCTATTTAAATCCACTTATCACTTAAATTTGGAACTATTCCCAGACGATTTTATAGCTGGTAAAGAATTCAAGCTTAGATTTATATTAACATTATATATTTATACATACAGATTATCTACAGATAATCTATAGAGCAGGTAGAACCTCTAATAAATAATCTGCGAAGTAAAACCTCAACAGATAATCCACAGTGCGGATTATCTATAGATTATCTGAAGATTATCCACGGATACAAATAATTTTGCGCAGCCTAGGTATATAGCTAGCAACTTTCGTTCGTCTCGATCGGTATAGTATTTGGATTGTAGGGCTTTAGATAAGTCGGCGCCATCAGGGTGTAATACCTCTTGCGTGATAGTGTACGATGATTGAAGGGGTAAGTAATATAAAATATACCTAAACATATCCCTACTATAGGCCTTTAAATAACGTAAATTAAGTTATATCATTAATTGAAAATTCATATAATAAATTTTAGATAATAGAAATATTATAGAAATTATATTTTATTTTATTTTTATTAAAAATCACTAATTTTTTATTATATTCTGATTCGAAATCCTATTTGGAGTTTATTTAGAATTTATAGAATGCTTTAAATACTTTAAATTTATTAAAGTTAATAGAAAGCAAGTAAAAGCTTCAAATATCGAATTTTAGGGGAGAATAGTTTATTATTCATTCAATTTACTTAAAGCAGTAATAAATTCTATTAAAACAGTAAGATTTTATTAAAAGTGGAATTGACATTATTTACTCATATAATTACTGTAGACAATGCTTTCGATTTCCAGATTGAGGTCGGCACCGATATCTACATTCTTAGCACCTTCAATTCTCTTACCAATGACCTGGCCGCGTTGATATTGGCTAAGATGCTTATTATCACGACAATTGCCGGATATGGAGCCCATAGGAGTACGTTATGGAGGCATACTGGATTAATTATGGAAGGTGTTGAAGAAAAAAGTGGGAGATAAAGTGAAATATTAAGGTTTCGACTAATATCAGTGGAAGGTTACTGTAGGTCTCTTTATAAGGACTTAATTTGGGGTCAAAAATTCAAAAAGAACTTAATTTAGGGAACAACCGTTGTAGCAATGACAAATCAACAAATTAAGCCATTTTCTGTCTTTTACTGCGCCTTCTAAAATCAGTTTCGATTGAAGAGAATGTGACATTATGATGCACTTTCTTAGTTAATCTTGTTGATATTTTTGACGATTGTGCTAAGGATGTTACCAAATCACGTCCGTTTTCCATTGAATCCGTTGATCTTGTTGATGGTTGTGTTGTAGATGCTACAATAACATAGGCCCCCTTGTTGTCGAATCTACAAATATTTAAAGTAGGACCAGCTGGTCCTACTTTTTACAAAGGGGCCAATTTAGAGGCTTTTCTTTTGCAAAATTGGTCCTAATTTTGGTGAATAGCTGTCGAAACATTAACGTGGTTTATCAGCGAATCGCGCATTTTTACGACCGGTGTCGTGACCTGGACTGGTTTTATAATAATATTCGCAAAACTTCAATCCCTCTTTTTGTGATCCTCAAGAGCCGCCGCCAAGAGTAGAACTCCGCAAACAAAGTCACATGGGCCCACTAGAGTGGTTCTAATTGAGATCTACAAATGCATTCATGCAATTGATATTTCCGAGAATGCTTAACACATCTTGCTGTAGCGAGCGACAACAATGCTACACAGTGGCTTTGAGTTCCTTTGCTGATGTTGGCACCTGTAGTAAGCATGCAGAGCGAATTCTACTTCAATCGATGATTGGCTTTGAATATCAACGCTAGCACTAGATTAGCTTAGCCTTAGTACAATGGCAACGATAGCTTGCGTTATGCTTATTCTATCGTGCCCTGCAAAATGGCAGCAAGCCGACACCATCGTGTAGCAGTAGCTTGGGATATCATGATAGCAAGGCCTATATGTATCTTAAAGCCAAATTTTGTTTTCTGTTTTACAAATTCTTCGACCTCTCAAATCGGACGTCCTACAGACTACATTATCACCTTACACTCTCCTAGACTTCAACAAGCCATCTCAATTGGTAGTGATCAAGGTAAGATATTCGATCTTTTTTGAGACCTGACAGTTTGTTCTAGGTTGAAGATTTACTGCCGCGAGGATGACGGAACAGCTTCCTCAATCCGAGAGGAGCGAGGAGGCAGGGTACGATTCCAATTTGACCAAATCTATTACTTTTTGGGAGAACCAGTTTCATGGCCTAGAAGTCCAAGAATTTCCTGTGGTTTGTCAATCACAAGGAAAGGCTCAAGGACTCTCATTGAAGCAGTTTCAAACTTTAGAGGAGTATTTCCCGAGCACAGAGGT